TTTTAAAAATGTTTTAGAAAAAAATTAATATTGTTTTATTTTATTTTAGTTGTTATACATTTTAATAAAGGTTTTTCTCAACCTTTTCTTCATTAATTTTAAATCATCGGACGAATTAAAACTGAATTAAAACTAGAATTGTGGTTCAAAAAAAAAAAAAAATATATATATATATATATATATATTTCAAATGAGTTTATATTTAGGGAAGAAAAATTCAAATTCCAATCTTTGAAATGGAGAATGTAGCTTACAATTTAATTTATAATTGTTAAACCATAAAAACTAAGTGCATGCTGATAAAATATAATCTATCTTGCCCATATTGCATAATAATATTCTCATACTATAGTGCATTTCGTTCTTCTTCTCTGGGCTGTCACAGACTGCAATCCTTTTTGGGTAGAAAATAAAATGTATGAAGGAACATTCTAGAATCTTCACGTTTTAATTGTGAAAATAAAAAGAGTAGTGCTAGCGGCACTCGCCTCTTGCACTCTCCGGCCAACACTTCCCCTTTCATTGGGCCACGTAAGCTCGTTTCGGGCTTTCAAGTGCAACCTCTTTCCGATCCGAATAACGTGGCCCAATAAAAGTGAAAGTGTTGGCCGGAGAGTGGAGAAGGCGACTGCCCCTAGCACTCCTCAAATAAAAATAACAAACCAAGTACTTAGTTTTCTCAGCATTTACACCAAAACGATTTACCTTGCAAAATTAAATAGTAATAAAAATAAAAACATAAAAATATGTGTCATTCAGCCTAGCGTAAATTGCATATATTATATTATATTTATTTTTAATAATTTTAATTTAATTTTTGTATAAAATTTAATAAATTAAGTATATAAATAATATAATTAATTTTTTTTATCAAATAAAAATATTTGATAAAAATTTTATAAAAAATTTTAATTATTATATATAATTTATTAAATTTTATTTTTAATAATAATTATTGTTTAAAAAGTATTTTTAACTTGTAACTTAAAGGTAAGGTTAGAAGAACTCATTAAAAAAATACTAACAATTAACCATTGATAAGTAGCAAAAGTCCGTTTGTACCATTCTCAAAATAAAAATAAAAATACAAATCTGCATTCAATTCCAGTGGAGAAGAGGAGAACCCCGAGTTGGAAGTAACCGAACCAGGCATCCCCTATTCTTTCTTTCCAAACAAGAAAAAGGAGTTACCGCCTCTACCCTTCTCCCCCTTTTATAAACCAACCCCGCCTCCATTGTTCAGATCCCCAAACGCTGTTTCCCGTCTTCCGGATTTTCTTCGCTCCCTTAACGCTTTGCTTTCTTCTCCGACCATGTCTAACCAAGCTGAATCATCTGACTCGTATGCTTCAGATCCCCATTCTCCGATTCCTTTTTTGCTAATGGGTATTTGGGATTATGGTACAATCTGACTGATTTTTGGGGTTTTGTGTTGGTTTCAGTAAGGGGACGAAGAGGGATTTCAGTACCGCGATCTTGGAGAGGAAGAAGGCGCCCAATCGGCTTGTTGTTGATGAGGCAATCAACGATGATAACTCCGTTGTCGCTCTCCATCCTGACACCATGGAGAAGCTCCAGCTCTTCCGTGGTGACACCATCCTGATTAAGGTTTATTTTGCTTTTCAATTAGTATTTGAATTTTGCTTAATCTGGGTTTGTTAATGATGGTATTCGTTGTGATTTGAAGTTTGATTTTTTGTGGGTTTTGTGTTCTCGTATTAGGGTTGGTGAAATTGAGGTTCCTTTTGAAAAGTTAAGGGTTTTGTTTAGGTGGATTTCTACGATATTTTTTTTAATTATTAAGATCTATGATTTTTGTGTTAGGTTAAATCTATAAATCAGATTATTGTAGGCTGTGATTTGTGTTTGGAGGTTCGGGTTTCCTAAGTATGACAAAGGAAGTAACTTGAGTTTTAGGCAAAAGAGTCCTGTTTTGCTTGACTGAGTCTCTGACAAAAGGAAGTCACTTGATATTCCAGATGGTGTTACGATATCTGCCTTAGTTGCATGTGTATGAGCTTTGAATATTGCAATCGTAGCTTGTGGATTAGTGTAGAACATCACATTTATGAATATGGTTGAAGATTGTAAACTTATTGTTTAAAACATTTTTGGCTTTTAGGGGAAGAAGAGGAAGGACACCATTTGCATTGCTCTTGCTGATGAGGCATGTGATGAGCCAAAGATTAGGATGAACAAAGTTGTGAGGTCAAACTTGAGGGTTAGGCTTGGAGATGTTGTCTCTGTGCATCAATGCCCTGATGTCAAATATGGGAAACGTGTGCATATCTTACCTATTGATGACACAATTGAAGGGGTTACTGGAAATCTCTTTGATGCTTACTTGAAGCGTAAGTACAGTTGGATACATTTACTTTTCTTAGTAATCTGATTGTTGAGCGTTTTTGTGCTGCACAAGCAAGTTCTGATGCAAATCTTGTTTGCGGTCACAAGATGTTTTATTCCTGATGAATTGTTATATCATCTTTGTCTGACTATTTTATATGCATTGGAAACCCACTGATGGCACTTACTTTAGCCTTTCTTTCATCAATACTTGATGCATAAGCTGCTCCTATCTCATATGGATAGATCCAGATTTGACTGTGTTCACTTCCAATATTCCTTCTCGTCTAACAGTAGTTGTGTCTTTATTTGAGCATATTCGACAAAATTTCTTTATATATGAATGCATGTATGTGTTGAAAGACTCTCTAAGCACATCTCTTCCTAGCATGGATTTGTTTTTTCTAGACATATTTGGGGTGACCATGCACATGGTACAGACAGTCCTGTGTATGTTAGCATATTTTTGGCTGGACTTGTTTCTAGGATCTCTACCAAAGCCACTTTTTTTTTTTTTGGTGGTACTTTTGATGATAAGCCATACAACAGGTCCTTTTTTCTGGATTAGTTGAGGCTGGATGTAATTTACTAAGTGTACAAGTTTTACATTTACAGCTTATTTCCTGGAGGCATACCGACCAGTGAGGAAGGGTGATCTCTTCCTTGTGAGAGGTGGAATGAGAAGTGTAGAATTCAAGGTTATCGAGACTGATCCAGCTGAGTATTGTGTGGTTGCTCCAGACACTGAGATTTTCTGTGAGGGAGAGCCTGTCAGTAGGGAGGATGAGAATAGATTAGATGAGGTTGGTTATGATGATGTTGGTGGTGTGAGGAAACAGATGGCTCAGATTCGGGAATTGGTTGAGCTTCCATTGAGGCATCCACAACTTTTCAAATCAATTGGTGTGAAGCCACCAAAAGGAATTCTGCTATATGGACCTCCTGGATCTGGGAAGACTCTGATTGCCCGTGCTGTTGCAAATGAAACTGGTGCTTTCTTTTTCTGCATTAATGGACCAGAGATCATGTCAAAGTTGGCAGGAGAGAGTGAAAGCAATCTCAGGAAAGCATTTGAGGAAGCCGAGAAGAATGCACCATCCATTATTTTTATTGATGAGATTGACTCAATTGCTCCCAAGCGAGAGAAGACACATGGAGAAGTGGAGAGAAGAATTGTCTCTCAACTCCTAACACTCATGGATGGGCTGAAATCCCGTGCACATGTTATTGTTATTGGGGCCACAAATCGGCCAAATAGTATTGATCCAGCTCTCAGAAGGTTTGGAAGATTTGATAGGGAGATCGACATTGGTGTTCCAGATGAAGTGGGACGCCTTGAGGTTCTTCGTATCCACACAAAGAACATGAAGCTTGCTGAAGATGTAATGTCTACAACAACCCTTTTTTTCTCCAAATTCTCTACTTCTTTTGGAAGAAAGAATTCTTCACTCTAATATTTTCCTCTTTTTTTTTTTTTTTTTGGTATAGGTTGATTTAGAAAGAATTGCCAAGGACACACATGGTTATGTTGGTGCTGATCTTGCAGCACTCTGTACTGAGGCAGCACTTCAGTGCATCAGAGAGAAGATGGATGTGATTGACTTGGAAGATGAGTCAATAGATGCTGAAATACTCAACTCTATGGCAGTAACAAATGAGCACTTCCAAACAGCTCTTGGAACAAGCAATCCATCAGCACTGCGTGAAACTGTAAGTATTCGCAATAATGTTCTCACAAATCAGATATTTTAGTATTGATTTTTTTTCTTTTTTCCTTTGGTTGTTTCTGATAGTCACATTTTCTGGATTAGGTTGTTGAGGTGCCCAATGTCTCTTGGGAAGATATTGGAGGTCTTGAGAATGTTAAGAGGGAGCTTCAAGAGGTAATTGCTGTTGTTTCATCTGATTGTATCCATTTTTTTTTCCCTTCTCCTTTCTGAGAGTAGAACTGTATTAATTTTTTCCCTTTATTATGTAGACTGTTCAATATCCAGTTGAGCATCCTGAGAAGTTTGAGAAGTTTGGAATGTCACCCTCAAAGGGAGTTCTTTTCTATGGTCCTCCTGGATGTGGTAAAACCCTTTTGGCCAAAGCTATTGCCAATGAATGTCAGGCAAACTTCATCAGTGTCAAGGGCCCAGAATTGCTTACAATGTGGTTTGGAGAGAGTGAGGCCAATGTTCGAGAAATTTTTGACAAGGCTCGCCAATCTGCACCTTGTGTCCTATTCTTTGATGAGCTTGACTCCATTGCTACCCAGGTCTGTTTTTATGCTTCCTGTGAATGAAAGGTTTTTTCTTTGTTTATGGTCTGCGTATTGTTTGTCATGCTTGATGTGTAGCTTGACCATGTTGTAGCTTTGTTTGAGTTGTTGTATGCATTATTATAACTGTTTGCAACATATTGCAGAGAGGAAGCAGTGTAGGTGATGCTGGGGGTGCTGCAGATAGAGTTCTAAACCAACTTCTGACAGAGATGGATGGCATGAATGCCAAGAAAACTGTTTTCATTATTGGAGCCACCAACAGACCAGATATCATTGATCCTGCACTTTTACGTCCAGGTCGTCTTGATCAGTTGATCTATATTCCCCTCCCTGATGAGGAATCTCGCCATCAGATTTTCAAGGCATGCTTGAGGAAATCTCCTCTTTCTAAAGAAATTGATCTCAGAGCCCTTGCCAAGTATACTCAAGGCTTCAGTGGTGCTGATATTACTGAAATATGCCAGCGTGCATGTAAATATGCCATAAGAGAGAACATTGAGAAGGTATGGTGCCGCCTATTTCTTCCATCTGTATTGGTTAATTTCCTTCTCATTATGTAATGATGAATTTGGTATGCTTTGTAGGATATCGAGAGGGAAAGGAGGAGAAGGGAGAACCCTGAAGCCATGGAGGAAGATGTTGAGGATGAAGTGGCTGAAATCAAGCCTGCACATTTCGAGGAGTCAATGAAGTATGCTAGGAGGAGTGTTAGTGATGCTGACATCCGCAAATACCAAGCATTTGCCCAGACATTGCAGCAGTCACGTGGATTTGGCACCGAGTTTAGGTTTGCTGAAACTGGTTCAAGGGCTGCCGGATCAGATCCTTTTGCAGCTTCTGCTGGTGGTGCGGACGAAGACGACCTCTACAGTTAAAGTAGCTTCAGTTTATTTGTTTAATAGCTACATTCGTATGTATTCTGTATTTAATTGACTATTGAAAAGGGTTTCTGGTGGTGCATCCATCTGAGCTCAGAAGGTCCTGGGCTTTAGACGGTAAAGTCCTCCTGGCTATCCAATGGAGTTGATAGAACAGCATTTACACTTTCCAAATTTCAAGGCTATTTATAATTGGACAAGGTGAATTCTGGGTTGTTGCTTCTCCTTGTGCTTTCCTCCCTTAAATTTTTCCTATGTTTCCTTCCTTGGAGCCTGTTTGGTTTAAGGCCTTCCCTAGAAGTATACGCCTCTTAAATCTCTTTCTTTCCCGGACTGCGGTTTTTACATGGCTTACCAAAAACTACATGCAGTAGGAATTCTCTTCAATCGAGCTTTTTACTATCTGGGTGGAAATGAAGTTCGAATTGCAATTATCTTGTGTGACTAGGCTAGGCCCCAATAATTCAGAATGCATTTGAAATCTGGGTGGAAAAGGCTTAAAATTGTTGGCTTAATCCAAAAATAATGCATTTATGGTTTCGTACTGACAGAAAAGAGAAAATAAAGAGACACATAGGTGGATTGGGTGGCCTCAAATTTACTGCTCATCTGCTTCGGGAATTTAACTGCAACTTGACAAATTTTCACAAAACTCAGGCTGTGGCTGGCTCCACCTCTTCACGCCGCACGTGAAATCTGATGAAAGAGTTTGAAAATTAACACTAGTTTGCAATATAAAGTGTTGACATTTCTGTACCCAGAAACTGTCCTTGCAATACTTCAAGAAAAATACTTCAATCAAATAATATTTTTTTAAAAAATTTATAGTTAAATTAAACAGGCTCAATCAAAACTCCCGATGAAACTTATCCTCTATTAAATGATAATAATTTCTATTTCTCATTTTCCTTATTCATGACCTTTCAATGCAGGAGAAAGGGAGTCATGTTGCTCACAGTAAGGTATTGAAATTTCGATATGAATTATTAAAAGCAAGCACTTTTGGTTGGGGGGAGGTATTGATTAGACTAAGCCACTTTATGGGAGACAAGCCCACATGAAAAAAAAAAAAAAATGGAGATTAGTATAATGTACTACCATTATTGTCCTTCCACACTTCTTCCTCTCCTTAATTTTTCAATTGTTTCCATTACATAACTTCATGTCAATTTGAATTCGCTTGAATTTCGAGGAAAAAAAAAAAAAACTTCATGTCAATTGTCAATTCCTAACAATGTGTGACCCAAAACTCAAATTATTAGTTTCCTAGATAACAAATATCTTGAGTTGGTTTGGATGCTTTGGCCAATTGCTTGTTTGGCTGCCCATATGCTTTATTTTCACTACTTCATATATGTAGTTCTTATAGTTTTTATCTATTTAGGAGACAACATTAAATTTTAATTAAAAAAAAAAATCTAAAACAAGATATGTGATATAGAGACTTTGAAACAATATTAAAATAATTAACTAAGATTTTAAAAAATTTGAGATTAAAATATCTTAATCTTTAAAATAAATGGTTTGATCTTTTATTGTGTCTGAAAAAAGCAGACCAAATATAATGTCGCTATTTTTGAGACGAAAGGAGGACATGATTAGTTGGCATTTGAAATGCATTGAGGATGGCATAAGGGTACCCATTACACATCAAATCATATCATGAATACACAAAAAATATTATAACAAATATAAGGCTGAGAAGCACATCATATCATGTAATGTTGGTGCTCTTCATGTCTAGGGGCAATACTTCAATACCCCACCACATTACTCATTCCTTTACCCACCCGTTATAACTTTGTAGTAAACCATCCTGTGTCCCCCTTCTTAATACCATTACATTGGCACTAAAATAGGGAGTGTGTGCACCTCACACACACACACAACACACGCACATGTCCTTCACTTCTGTAGTTTTTTTTTTTTTTTTGAACAAGTTGATTATTTACATTCAGGGAAGCATTCATTTTGGACTAATTTTAGATTGAAATGAATGACTATCTTCCCATTGAAATCTATAGGATCTTAAAAATATTTACATTTTATAAATCTTGGCTAGACTCAATAGTATTTGATATCTGCATGATGTAATTTTAGCCATAATCAAATTTTAATTCGAGACTTCTTGAAAGTTTTACATCCCTAATTAATAAATTGCTACTATTAGGAGATTGGGTAGACAAGAGCTCAAATAAAAGCTGATATATCTCTTGAAACATCATCTTGAATGCAAACACTAACTTATTAAGTTTATAAGTCTCCACAAACATATTATCATCATCTTAATATTGGACAACAACTTATTTTTTTGTCTAACATTCTAGATAACCAACAACAACCATACCCAAATTGTTAACAGGACACATAAGATTATGAATCGCAGCATCATTATTGAAAATGTAAGTAAAATGGAGATGGGTTTGATCAAAATATCAAATGACTTTTCTAATTGAATAAGAATCTAAATTATGGGACAACTAACAAGTGGTTGAAGAAGAGAACCTAAAAAGAGATGAAAATTTAAGAATGGTAGACGAGTCTATTTCAACACTACATAATATTAAAGTCATAGGCACCATTGCCTACTTTCAAAAAATAAACATAGACGGTGCTCCCCTTAGAAGACTTTACGTCATTCTCATTACATACCAATAAGTGTATCTCCACATGTGGATAGAAAAGAGCTTGTAGTTCTACAATTTAAATTATGTTAAATGGTAAAATCAAAAATATTAAATAAAAATATCGTTTTTATTTGATGGCCACCATTTCACAATACAAACTGCGCACCTATCTTTCGTACAAAAATTGGTTGTGTGTTGGCAGTAGAGTAAACGCCTGCAGTAACAACCATAATTAATCAGGTGGTATATATATATATATATATATGAATGATGTTGTCAGAGATCCACGTGTGTTGGCTAATGTTTTCTAATGTGCATGTGTGAATCCTAGCAAGAGAGATGAAACTGGAAAATGCATGCATATATGATGATGATCATGAAATTTGAAAAGAGAGGAAAGGACATGTCAGGAGCACAGAAAGGGAGAAAAAAAGGTGGGAGAGGGCCGCACGAGGGGGCACTCAGAACAGAGATTTGTACCGTCCACCGTCTCTAAGGATTCCCGCTGTCGGTAACATCTCTCCATTGACCCACCCACATCATCTCCCTTACCTCTCTTCCACGTAATTTCCTTAATTTTCATCAAACATGCCCTTAATTACTGTTAATTAGGAAGTTATTAGTAAATTGCAAGTATTGCAATTCTTGTAATGTATATATGTTTCTTTTGTTGGAACATATTGATAGAATTATATGAAATATGAGTGAGATGACATGCCATGCACGTGTATAATATATGATGTTTTTTTTTAAATTTATTCGAGTTCATTTTTGTCGACATTGTTTTTTCTTCCTTCTATTTTTGTAATTTGGGCTTTAGAAAAACAGATGTTGATAAGTGATACATATAGAGTGAGACAAGATTAATGAAGTAATATTTTTTGCAAGATGCAAAAATTTATGTGCTTTGTATGGCCAACCATTCCAAATGATCAGAACCAATGGCAATGGCATTTCAGTTGCATCTGAAAGGAACATTATTCAGCCAAAACTTGGTCTTATTTTGATATATATATATATATATATATATATATATATAAACAAAACCCAGGACTGGTCCAGGAGTAAATAATTGTATATTTGTTGTCTGATGAGTGTTCCCTAACTATAAGGCCTTGTTCACCAGTTTGATCTGAACTGGCGAACCAATATCTTAGAAGTTTGGAAGAAGCATGCTGATGATTAACATGTTTCTCATACTTTTGATTATAAATTACAGTCTAAATTTGACAAAACCTGAACATGAAACCTTGTTTCTCCATGAGACTTCTAGAATAAGTGATGTTGCTGAGAAGAAGTACTACTAGAGAAGAAAAAGAAGAATCTCCAATTTCCATGTATAGCACAAACTACTTAGAACAAGAAGAAAAATAGAGGAAAAAGAACAGAAAAAAGAAGAAACATTCGGATAATGTATCAAAATCAGATTCCAAAAACCAAATCAACAATAAACTCTTGATCCATTGATCTATAGACCCAACATGGTCTTCAGGTTTTAGTTCCCAAAATTTCCATCTTCTAATTAAATTTTTTGCTTTCTTTACCTGCATTATAAGAAAAGAGAGTGCTGGAAATGCTTCCTTTCAGTCCCATCCAGAGAAGATAAAAAGTAACCATTTTCTACAAATACAAAAAGCTTCATTTAAGGGGGAAAAAAACACTAAGAAAATAGAGGAAAAGGGGAGCAGATCAGCAGAATCCTTAGATTCATCACAAGGAAAATAATCAAAGCCTAAAACAGAGATCTAGAATTTATTCTCCTCATCCCTAAAGTTGCTACGTTACTTACACATCAAACACCTTATTTTTTTCCTTTTGCAATTACGGTACCTCCTGTACAGGCAAGCAGCTGGCCATTTAAGGGTCGCCCCGGTCGCGCCAGCAGACTAGCATGGCTATGCAGCGGCGGAGGATGTAGAATTTGGCCCTCTGCTTCTTCACCAAATGGCTGCACTTTTGACCGAAGGATCTGCAGGGCTCACACGTGTGCTCGTTAGTCAGGTAGCTACTGTCGTTTTCCTTGGCCGCCATGAAAATGGTTCAGCTGTTGGTCTTACTACAACTGATAAAAGTGGTAATAACAGAAGAAAAGCAGTAAATGTGAAAGGAAAGGTAGAGATTTTCAGGGGTTTGTGGTATTTATAGATAAAGTTAGAGAGAAGAGACTGTAGAGCCTGCAACCCACCAGCTGTGTGTCAGGGATGATGGCGCAGATGTAGTGATATACTGTAGGTACTAATTTTGGCGTTGTTTTCTTTCTTCCCCAATTCATCACTAGAATTATTATAGAACCAAAAGCATTTTTCTTTTTGATCAACTAGGTAAACACTTTTCTTGAACCCTATCATAGGAATAATTAAAAGTAAGTCAAATTAACCATCCCTCTCATCATGATTAATTGATTGATGTTAATTAGAGAGATTAGCATAATCTTGCTGCTTGTCGTTTGCAGCACTTTGATTGAATTACCCGTTAGAGAATAGTTATTAACCAATCATTCATGACAACAACATAAGTATATAAATTGAAAAGTAATGGATACAAGTGGAGTGGTGGATTCGAACCCCACCATACTTTTTGGTATCATTTACAGAGTAAAGTGATGTTTGTCACTTGTTCTTATCGATAGTTGACAATAACAATAACAACAAATTAATAATAGTTACGTTATTTTGATGAAATATGATAAAATACCATTAGGTAAACTTAGTATGAAATTGATTCTTTTTGTTGCAATTATTTTACTAAGAATGAGGGTTGGGTCCTTTCTACCAAACCATGATAATAAGTCAAAGAGTCAAAGACACTGTAAATGGGGGCCTGCCATGTGCTAAGCCAGTTAGTTTGAATTAGGGTTTTTTGGGTCGTAAGAAAACTTTTTGCTTGATGGGTCGCCATCTTCCATGATTTATCACTTAAATGTTACCATCATTTCTTCAATACTTTGCTTCTAACCTTTTGTCACATGGGGCATAGGTGTAGCTCTAGCTAACACATCTATACTTCAATTTTCCTAAATCCTACCGTTCCTTTCAATAAATTAAAAAAATAACAACCACCTCAATTTGAATGAAAACTACACTTTAGTCCAAATAATTCAAAAAACCTGTAATATCCACCCCCCCAAAATTATGATAAAGCTTTCATTTTCTTTCATTAAATTGCTTTTCTACACGAAATTCTTTTTTTAAAAAACATAAATAATTGAATAAAATTTAGAGGTTTTTGTAATTGGCTATTTTTTAAAAGAAAAAAAAATCATTACATTCACCATTAAAAAAAAAAAAAAAACTATCTTGGCCTAGAAAGCGGGCCTGCAGAAACCTGAGATCAGCCTTCTTTTCTTAGTCCAGAAAGAGATGAATCAGCCTATATTCTATGGGCCAGAGTAGATTTGGATCTGAGTCTCTAATAAAATTCTTATCCCTTAGGCCCTAATGGACCAAACCGCGATTATTCATTTAGGCCCAATATTCTCTACATGAATGTCGGAGTTGAAGCAGGTGGAGTTGTTGCAGATCCGACCCGCCGGCCTCTCTCGGATATGCTATTCTCTACAAATTTAAGGCTTCCGTGGTGCAGTCCTTTCTCGTTCTCCTCCTCATTCCACTCCGACCCGTAATACTTCTCCTCACTGCACTTCTTCGACGCCGGAAAAAACATGCTCCCCCACTGAGGAAAATGCACCGCCGCCACCGGCAACGTGCACGCCACAATCATGATCCCCATGTAGAAAATCCCAGTGGCTGTCGAGTAATTCGAGCTCGTAAATAACAACATCTGGGTCGACCTGGACCCCAAGTTCCCACCTGCACCGATGAGGCCCGAGATGACGCCAAGCGATCTGCGAGAGATGAACAGGATGATCCCGAATGTGGCGCCGCATGCGGCCTGAGCTCCGATGGAGAGGGGAAGAGTGTCGGCTTTCCCGAGACAGATGCAGAATATACCCCCGAGGGCCGAGGGTTTGTAGGATGTAGAGGTTCCAGAGGCGGCCGCGCATCCCGAAGTGGCGTGCGGCTGCGTCCGACATGTAGCCGCCTAGGGGGCGAGCGAAGATGTTCGCCATTCCGAACGTGGCAGCCATTGTGCCCGTCGTGTGGAGCTTCAGGTTAAACCTAAGCATTTTTTTATTAAAAAAATCAAAATTAAAAAATAAAATAAAATAAAATGTCATACTCAAACCCAAAGATACGATGGAATATGTTAGTGTGCATATATATATATATATGTATATATATTTATATTTTTAACATATTAAAAGTTTAGGGGTAGAGGATTTGAAATCTAGTTTGTGCACATTAGTATATCTTTAAAATCAAACCTCCTTACATTTTTAATGTTAATTTTTTTTTATATTTTAAATTTTGAAAGAGAAATGAATTATTACAAATAAAAAATGTTAATTTAGATTAAAATTTTCACTTTTACCATTAATGAAAGCTCTTTACTTAATTACGTATCTCATTAGTGGTGAAAATGGAAGAAATGGCATTTTCAAATTCTTTTTCTGAAAAATTACCTTTCATAGAAATATTCTGCAATTATATTATTTGTGGTTAATTCAACTCCAATTGACATCCCGTAAAGAAGAACATAAATCCAAATTCTGTAATTTATGATTGCATACCAAAGTACCTGAAAAATGAAAATTTAATTAAAGGGCGATGCTATAAATATAATTTTTTTATATTATTTTTT